TATGCACATATATATATATATATGAACACTAAATATTGGCTCAGGGAAAGCATTAATTCATTCTGCAAATATTTACCAGGTACTCTGGTAGGTGCTGGTAATAAACATGGAACTTATGGGGGGACATTAATTAAATAATCACAGCAGTAAATATATAATTAGAAACTATGATAATTTCTCTATATGAAAATTATAAGATGTATTTAACGTATGTAACAATTAAGGGGGTCAGAGATTATTTCACAGAGGAAATGATCATTGAATGGAGATTTGAACTAGACAGAGAGAAGCTTTTTGATAGAGGTTCTTAGGCAAAAGAAAATGGAAGAAAGAAATGAAAGAAGTCCCAATGTGACTGAGATAGAAACGTTAGACAGGACAGTAGCTCTGGTGAGGCCGACAGAGGCCAGATCAAAGGATAGTACAGTATGATGACAAACAAAACCCAAACCAAAAGGAACAACATCAACAAAAAAAGGCCAGTTGGATTTTGGAGTAATACAAACCCTAGGTTCACGGATGAGTTTTGTCACATACCAACTGTGTGACCTGATCAGTTTTAACCTCTTCCTCCTCAGCTCCCTTACTGGTGAAAACACACCTCATTGAGTTACTGTGAATATTATATGAGATTGTCCCTGGTGTCCATGAGATAACCCATGTTAGATATACATAATATATACAGTAAGTACCTCCAGGTGTGTTATGATCCTTCTGTGTTTGTTAGCTGCTGGTCACCCTAATTTTAAGTAGAGCAGAAAAATAATCACTGGCTTTGGAGATTCACAGCCTGAAACCAAGCAACAGTTTCAAAAAGGAAATTAATCAACATTTTTTGAGCACCTAGTGAGTTCGCCTTAGTTCAGTTAAAGACCATTTTGAGCACATACTTTGTACAAGATATAAGGTATTACTCTGGCAGTACAGGGACCCATTCTTTTTTTTTTTTTGTCTTTTTCCGTGTCCGGCAACGGATCGCAACCCTCAGTGTTGCCCCCGTACCGGACCGGGGACCGGCAACGGGATTGCAACCCTCGGTGTTGCTCC